GGAAAACAGCTTGCTTGGGCATATGGAGAATCTTCAGAACTCAGTTGGCTGACATCTCCCTCAACATCAAAATTCTCCAGGCTTCATTTCAAATGAGCCCTAAAAGCTTTCTCCATTGGATTAAATTTCAGGCAGTCTTCCACTTCACTTCTGAATCCTAAGGGTGAAAACAATGCTCTGCGTGAACAACAGACAAAGCCCCGTACCCGGTCCCCAGGTGTCTGAGGGACCAGACATGATCAGCAGCAACTGAAGTATGCATGATGTGCAAAGCTTGAAGTGGTCTCTGGACTGTCACATGGACCCTGAGGAAGGAGAAAGGAAAAATAAATCTTAATCTGACCACCAGACTGAAAAGGAACCACCAAATGAGGTGGAGGTGGGGAGTTCCAAACAGTTCCCACAATAGTGCAGAGAAAAGCTGAACAAAAGGGACCAAATCCATACCAAAACCCACAATGGTGTGGAGTGAAGTAGACAACAATCTTAACTAAATGATTCCTAGCAGCCTAATAAGGCAGAGCAGTTGAAAGACAGCAGCGGTGCCACTAAAACATCCTTTATTTTTATTTTTTTTTACACTCTCAGTACTTAGGACCTGCATGGTTGTTAGGCTGACTGCGCTCTTATTTTTTTATACCATCAGGATTTAGCATGTGGCTTTTGGGAGGACGTGTGCCTACTCTTGTCACGCACTGCCGACGAGGACGTTTTCTGCTCTAGCCACAACTAGCACTCCATTCTACTGTTTGCCAGCTGTGACCAAAAAATGTGATAGATTTCTCCTTAAAATAGCTCAAACATCCCCAAAACACATTTTTCCCTCTTTTTTTGATTGTCTCATAGCAATTTCTGGTCTTAAACCCATATGTTTTGTGTAGAAGTTATACACTACGCTGAGTAGATGTGGACAATGGAAGTTTTGGGTCAAGAAGTACAAATGCAGCTAATAACTTCTAAATAATGTCCACAAAGCGTTCAATAGCTAAAAACTCAGAATTTGCTGGTGTCACGATCAATATTTCCTCTAATTTTTTTCCTTCTCTGTGCAGAATAAATCTTACATGCACCAACGCATATGCGGATGTGCACCACCGGTAGACATGCTGTGTATGCTCTGCTAATCAGCGGGTGGAGGGGCATTTGACTCTCTTCTGGGTGGCTGCCCATGTGCCCAGCTTACGGGGAACACTGCTCACAATCAAAACTTGTGAATAAAAACTGATCTATTATCTCCAGTTACCACAGAGGTCAAACAAAAGATATCAGGACTGGGTCACAAATACCTATTACAGGGACAGAAAGGACAATGTACATCAGGGTGACATGCCATAGCACAGAAAGAGGCATACTTTGAAATGTTGATTAAGAACTGTCTTTCTTATAAGTGGACTCTTCTCCAGCTTACACTTTTAGGTATTTATATAGCCAATATTTGTACTGAATTTTTTGCATACAAGATTAATTTGTATTGAATTGCAATATTTTTTTTTGTACATTCTATAAAGTAACTCATTCTACCCAAAAGAGATGAAGAAATCCATCAGTAATATATCAAGCCAAAACACATAATCAAGAGAGCGGACAATTGTCAACGTGACTTGAGGAATCCCTCTCCCTAACTGTCCACAGGGTGTCAGTGTTATTTCATGCAATTCCGTCTTATGCGGGAATCAGGCAAACTCTATTCAGACTAATTCTCCCCCAAACAATTCTTAACCTTTTGCCTGATTTCTGCAAAGAACTGCTGCTTTCACCACAAACTTCCCTCCTTTTCCAAGTCAGCAGCCATTAAATGTGATTAAAACAGATTTCTGAAAATGGGACACGTGTACACACACACCCCAGGTAGAATAGGAAAAGCAACTGGAAGATATGGTGAAAACTCTCAGGGGGTAACCATATAAGTCTGTGTCTGCAAAAACAATGAGGAGTCCTACAGCACTTTACAGTAATAGATTTATTAAGGGATAAGTTTTCATGGGTAAAACCCACTTCATCAGATGAATTGGAATGGAACTTACAGAAGCAGCAGTGTATATAATGAAGAAGTTGCTTATGGTTAATGAAGCTAATCAAATCAGGGCAGAAGTGGGTCATTCATAGCATTTGGTCTGGAGAGGTGAATATTTAGAAAAAGGGGAAGAAAGAGTTACTCACCTTGTGCAGTAACGGTGGTTCTTTGAGATGTGTCCCCGTGGGTGCTCCACTCTGGGATTCTGGTGGTACTTGTTCTACAGCACCCAGTTGTAGAAGGTGTGAAACCTCCTGTTGGGGAAGGGTTTCATGAGATGGGTCCCTGAAGAGGGATGGGGTGGGTAGGAGGCAGGGAAGTGAACAGCATAGCATAGCCGTGTTGAATCAGTTCCAGGACCCATTTGTCTGATGTGATGAGGGACCATTGGTGGAAAAAGGTCTGGAGAGGGTGATGGAATTGAGAAAGGCTGGTTGCAGGTGGTGGTGGAATGGATTTCTGGCTCTCAACCTGTTTTTCAAACCTGCTGTTTGTTTGCAGGTGGGTGGGTTGCGGAGGAGTGCTGTTGGTGTTGAGGTCTAGGACACTGTGGTCTTTGCTTTTGATGGAAGTCGTATCTGGTCTGTTGTCTAAAGGGCTCCCTGGTAGGTCTGGTACCTCATTCTCTTAAAGGGGGGAGTGTACATTCCCAGAGTCCTGAGGGTGGTATAGGAATTCTTCATGGAATGCAACACCTCCTCCGTCTTGGCTGCGAATAGGTTGGTCTTATCGAACGATAGATCCTCGACCTTCTGTTGTAAATCCCTCAGAACCCCTGATGCCTGAAGCCAGGAGATCCTTCATAGAACAACTGCAGATGCTGTAATATGGGCCACGGTGTCTGCCATGTCCATAGCAGACTGTAGGGCAGTACGAGAGATGGTGTGGCCCTCCTGCATCATGTTGAGTAGAGTTGGTCTCTTGTGTTCTGGGAGGTGTTGGAGCAGATCCTGCAGTTTGGAATAATTGGCGTGGTCATAGTTCGTGAGCATCGCTGTATAATTTGCTGCTCTGAGGAGCAAGGTGGTGGAGGAGTAGACCTTGTGGCCCATGATGTCAACTCTCTTGTGGTCTCTGTCCTGTGGAGTGGTTCTAAGGTTAGGTTGTCTTCCCTTATGCAGAACAGAATCAACTACTACTGAGTTTGGAGGGGGATGAGTAAAAAGAAAGTCCATGTCTTTGGGGGCGATGAAATATTTGCAGTCAGCCCTTTTGTTTGTCAGGGTAATGGGAGCAGGAGTCTGCCAGATGTTATCGGCAGAGTCCATAATAGCCTCGTCCATGGGGAGTGCTATTCTGGAGGTAGTAGGAGGTTGCAGTGTGCGTAGAAGCTGGTATTGCTTCACTTGCACCTCCTGAAGGCAAGGCTGGATTACCCAATCGGCAGACTAATCATGTGCTTAGGGCACCAGCAAAGAAGGGGCACCAAAAAAAAAAAAAAAAAAAAAGATTTTTTTTTTAAATTTGATATTTCAAAAAAAGCATCAAAGTAGTCATAATGGGAAAAATCAGAACTTTGTTAGGCTTCCTTACACTCTACTACACACTCTTCCCCCGTTTTTCTGTTCTCTTTTTATTATTTATACCTACCTAAACCGGGGGGCGTCCTACTAATGTAGATCTGATTTCCTCTCATTATTTCCATCCTGTCATGTACTGCAATAAATTTATGTTTTATTATTGATATATTCTTGAGTTATATGTACTTAATTCATATAACACCATAATCTTTTCAGTGCTTAGGGCCTCTAAAGGTCTTAATCCAGCCCTGCCTAAAGGTCTCGCTCCTGCGCCAAGGCCACTCTTTTGAAAAGGTCTTGGAACTTTCTCCTGGTTGGATGGTGGGGCTTCGGCTGCGACTGTCTTATCGGGAGATGATGATGAATTGTGTAAGGGGGATCTCGCCTCTCCTTCGGAGAGAGTCCTGTATCTCCAAGTGAGCTGGAGAGTTTGGCTCAGTCACCGAAACAGTGATAGGAGGCGAGGCCGGTGGTGGTCTAGGGATGGTAGAAGGGGCACGCTGATTGCTCTTCTTGGGACGTGGCTCCCATGGCTGCCATTGAGTGGTGTATGGCGGTGTTGGGTAGGCATACTGCTGTGCATACCATGGTGGTGGAGGAGGAGGGTATGCATATTGTACTGTGCCAGGTTGCCAAAAGGGCAGTCTGTGGGCCGGGCTGGAGCGTTGAGAAGAAAACCTGCTCCTTGATTTCGTGCCGATCTCACTGGGGGAGCGAGAAACACTGGAAGACCTACAGGACCGCACCGACTGTATGGATGAACCCGGTGCCTTTGATGTATGACTTCACACCGGCGATCGGTACTGGTCTAATCCTTCCATCGTTGCTGGGCAGTATGGGTTAGTCTGTGCTTCTTCGGTGCAGATATCGTGCCGGTCTTGTATGGTGCTTTGGTGCCGATCACTGCCTGTGCTGGCCCGCCAGTGTGGCCAGTGCCGAAGGTGTATCTGGCATCGTAGACAGCGGTGCCATTGATCTCTGTTTTGGCTCCGAGTGGGCTCTCTTGTGTGGTGCCGGTGTCTTAGTGCCATACCAGACGTTCTGGGTCTATCCTCAGGGCTGATCTGTGCAGCAGTCAGTGCCGAGGGTAGCGAGCGAGTTGGAGAAAGGCCTGTTTTTAATGCCGCGAGGCTGGAGTGGGTAGAGGAATGATCTTTATCCATACCCTTACTCTATGAGGCCGGTTTTGGAGCCGCGGGAGAGCCCTCTGAAGACAGGAGAAGGGACTTCTCGTAAAGGAGTGTCTTGAGTCTGTTAGCTCGATCACGACGCGCTCTCGTGGTGAGTTTAGAGAAGTGGCTGGGACTTAGAGTGCCCATCAGAACTGGGCATAGAGACTCGCACCTCTTAAAGCCAGGAGAACCGGACAGGAGGCACTTGGGGGGGGAGGGAAGGGAAGGAGGAAAGCAGCGAGCTGCAACGAAAAAAATTTTTTTTTTTTTTTTTTGAAACTGACTGGGAAGGAGAAAAGGAGCTGAAATAACTTAGATAATGAGGTAAACTATAGGGATTAACTGGGTACTTGTCTATTTTTTTAACAGAAATTTGAGAGATCAAAAGGCTCTGTCTGCTGCCGAGGACGGTAGAGAAGGAACTGAGGAGCCGCGCCATGCACGCACCTAATGGATTCCAACAGCACAAGGGGGCGCTGCGGCACGTGTGCAGCATGGTAGAAACTGCTAGAAAAAGTCTCCGGTTGCCGGTGTGAGGATGCACCAGTGCCCAGAGTGGAGCACCCATGGGGACCACTTGAAGGAGAAAATGTTTTTGCAGTGCATTAACTAAATTGATAGTACTGAATTTGCAAAGGAACTCTAGTTCAGCTGTCTCCCTTTGTAACCAGTTTTTCAAATTCCTTTGTAGAAGCACTTTCAAATCAATTACTGAACGTCCAGGAGCATAAAGTGTTCCGCTACAGGTTTATCTATGTGTGTTGCCATTCCTGATGTGTGTCCATTTATCCTTTGGTTTAGAGACTGTCTGGTTTGGCCAATATTCATAGCAGAAGGGCATTGCTGGCCCTCGATGGCATATACCACATTAGTGAATGTGCAGGTGGATGAATAAGACTTCAGAATTCTGACATTTACTACTCACATTTGCAGCTCAGGAATCTGGTTGGAATCTCAGCCAAGATGGCTCTCTTTCCCATGCAAGAGCTTGCTGCTTTTTCCTCTCAGATGCGGACCTCACCACACGATCCATGCCTGTCTCACCTGAAGAGTAGATTGTTGCAATGTGGTCTGCATAGACCCAGATCTTAAATCCACCTAGAGGCTGAAGATGTTGCTGAATATTGCTGTTCATGCTGACAGTAGCATCCAACCCATAGATATTATTGCTACTGACTCTGCCGGCACAAAAAGTCATGCTGCACTCTACTAGCTGTAGCAGATACATGTACAAACACATACAGATGTACCCACCGATTGCTTCAGATAAATATATAAACTAGTTCTGGTTCTCCTTTCAGTGACTATGCCTGGAGTGCCTTGCCTAGTGGGGTATTGGTACATAGGTGGGGCTCCTAAGAACTATTACAATTAATAATTCAGAAATGCTTCTTCCAATTCCAATCAGGTTACGTTGTCTGAGAAAGCCTCTCCCCATTCCAACAGGTTGGATGTGTGCATGCAGCAGGAAGGGATACTAGAACCTGCCCTCCAACAAAACCTTTTGAAAATGTACTTTTGAGGATTCTTCAGTATAACATTCATAGTTTTTCTTTGCTATGTAATTGTAAAAGGAGAGTTTAAGTGTTGTTTAATTTTTTTTTAAAAGTATAAAAGAAAAAATTTGTCTTTCCTAGTAATGCCATCCCAAAATGCTTCAAAAAGCAAAAGAGTTTGTTGCCAATGGTGCAGACACTATCCGTGTATTCATGGAAGGAAGTCACTAGGCACTTAACCATCCATAGTTTACACACATCCTTAGACATTAGAGGATTACTATTTGTATTATGGTACAAGATTAAGAACTCATTGTGCCACGCTTTCTCTTACTCTGTATTAGAAAGTCCCTGCCACAAGGAGCTTACAGTTTATACTGGCAAGGCAAGCAAAGTATGGGAGAGGAAATAGAGGCAGAAACAGGCAAAGTAATGTGCACAAGGATACACATCTGGTCAGTGGCAGAGCTGGGAGGACAGCACCCAGGTATTTTAACTCCCTGTCCAGTGCCCTACCTTCTGGGCCATGACAGAGGGAACAGTGACTAGGACCAGGGGCCATGTTCTTTAGTATTTAAAAATGAACCGTAGCAACTACTATTGTTAATAATCGTGTTAGTTAAGGTAGTATCTAAGGGTCAACCAAGATCAGGATGCTATTGTGCTAGGCACTGTGCAAACGGTAGACTGTCCCTGCCTTTAGGAGCTAACAGGATGACAGTAACATTGCAGCATCTCCCAGTAACATGATGCAATGTCACCTGTGCATATGGGTATATCCACATTGTGCTGAAACACCCATGGCTGACTGGTGTCAGCTGAGTTAGGCTTGCAGGCTTTGGGACTGAAACCATGTGGTGGAGATGCTCTGGGAGCCCCCCCCCCCTTAAGGGGTCTTAGGACCTGGGCTCTAACCCAAGTCTGAATGTCAACCCCCACAATTTCACAGCCCCATAGCCTGAGTCCCATGAGCCCAAGTCAGCTGATGCAGACCAGCCACAGGTGTTTAATTGCAGTGCAGACATGCTCTGAGTCCTGGTGTGGGAACCAAACCCACAAAATTCCAGGCCAATTGCAGGAACGCTGCCAGTTGAGCAACAGCAGCACTTCGCTCTTACTTGAAATGTTTTGCAGTGGGGGAGAGACTCCCCTGAGAAGCTACAACTGTTCTCAACCGGCATCTACCAGATTCTGCCTTTTACTGGGAAAGGAAGAGTGACTTCACTTTTTACCTCCGTCTTCCCCCTTTCCTTTACCCTAAACAGGCAGATATGGCGTTGCAAGAGAATTAATTACAGCTGGAAGCTAAAATAGGAAAATAAAATTAAAAATACTAAACCACAAGGCTTCTTCTATTGCTTTTTCCTCTGCAGAGTTGAGGATGGATGAGGTGACCTGGGAAAACTGGCAGATGGAAAACCCATTACAGATGTGAGGCTAGGAAAAAAAAAAGGCAAAGGAACAATATGAGAGTTGTAAATTTCAAGTTTGGGGGGTAAAATATATTGCCTAGCAACAAGAACCCAAATAGGAAACAAGTAACCCCCTGAGAGAGATGCTTTAGAAACCCTACCCAAGGTGAGGACTGTATTACCAGAGACCTGAGCAGCTGCTGTTCTCCCAGCTAAAATTATAGCACAGCCGAGAGAGAGAGAGATTTAATTTCTCTTTTGCATACATTCACACACAAATCTGTGTTCCCCTTATTCTGTGAAAGAGAATGTGAGCATGCACATGCACACAGACTGCACATGGGGCCCGGAGAACTGGAACAGAATTTGCTGTGCACTCAAATTCAGCAACGAAGAAAAGATGTCTCATGACATGCTTAAATCTCTTCCAGCGTCAGTTCTACTGGGGCGTAGAATCATTGCTTCCATATGCTTGAGCCTCTCTACGTGATCCAATGCATTTTTATACCATTTCATAAATCCTTTTCTAATACCCCTGGCTTATCAAAGCATGGATGTCTCTACTCTGTTTCAAATGGGGGAACACTATGGAAAGTAAGTAACAGAGGAAGGGGAGAACAGAATTCTAAATGGAACTTAAAGGGACATTGTCAACTTTGAAAGCTCAGAAAGCACATCCTTTGGCAGTTTCTTCCTTCCTCTCGTTACTTAATATCTGATTCATTCTAACACTAGAAATACAATAAAATAATAAAATACAGGACTATGTAGCACTTTAAAGACTAACAAGATGGTTTATTAGATGATGGGCTTTTGTGGGCCAGACCCACTTCCTCAGATCAAATATTTGATCTGAGGAAGTGGGTCTGGCCCACAAAAGCCCATCATCTAATAAACCATCTTGTTAGTCCTGTATTTTGTTTCAGCTACACCAGACTAACACGGCTACATTTCTATCAATAAAATAATAATAATAATAATAAAACAACTTACAAATCACACCAATGAATGACTTGAGGCCTCTATAGGACACAGAGAGCTCATGCACCATCAGACAAAAACTAGCAACCAATAAAACTTTCCTTTAAAAACAATTTCCTCTTAAAGATTTAAAAACAACACTTCTTCCCTCATTACCTTTTGCCTCATCAAAGGGTCAATCAGCTGTCAAGGAGTTCCCTGGTAACTGCATCAGAATATGTTGAGTTAATCCAAGGTTGTTCAATCTCATGTGTGGTACATTGGCAGAGCAGCGTTAGAGGTGCTGCGGAATAATTCAGAATTTACCTCGTGTCGTTTTGCTTCTGTAGGTAAACACACATGCGTACGCACAAATTTTTGCTTTTGTAAAAAGCAAGATTTACAAGATAAATTAACAACAATGTTCCTGTGAAGGTTAAAAAAAAGCTGTTTGGACAGAGTTATTCTCCTGCAACACTTATAACCCAAATACTGCAGCATTTTCCAACTGCCCAAGAATCAAAGTGAACTTGATTAGAAAAGGATTAAAAACTAAGTGACAGGGACAAGTCTAGTTCCACCATGGAGTGGAAAGAATGATCAAACAGCATGAACTTTGCTCAGCATTAACATAATTCTTGTCTTATTGAAAATCAGTGGGAGTTTTATTATTGAATCTGAGCAGAGTTAGTTCAATATTATATACAATTAAAATTCTCACCTTTAAAATACTTCAGTTTAAGCAGTCTCAAATAGATCAGACACACAGGCTGAGCTTTTCAAAACAATCTAGGGGATTTTTAGATATATATTCCTTTAATTTAAACAGAAGATAAATCTAAATCCTTTGTAGACGGCTTTGAAAATCATGACCTCAGTACATTTAAAAAAAATGTACCTGCAGGTGTCTATATTTTGTGTCACAAGCATAATTACTGTTAATTTTTTAATTTGCCTCTGGACTCTTAATACTGGTGCTCCAAACAGAAATAGACATCATAAACACTACCAGAAAATCAAAATACTAAACAGCAAAAAAGTTTCCTGTTAGTAGAGGAAGGGAGGAATTCTTAAACAAGGGTAGGCAGTATTTAAAATTAGCTAATTGAAGTTTTCCATTAAAAATAATATGTTTAAATATATTTTTCGTTTGTTTTGGACATTTTCCATTTTTCAGTTAAGTCCAACAATGAAAAGCTTGACAAGTTTCAGAGGGGTAGTCATGCTAGTCTGTTTCAGCAAAAACAAGCAGTCCTGTGGTACCTTATATTTGTCACTCAATTACAGAGGGAGACGGCCGAACTGGAATTCATTTACAAGTTTGGCATTGTTAGCCTGGGCTGGAATGAAGATATTAACTGATTAACACACTACAAAGCCAATTTTTCCATCAATATATTCACATTTTCACATCAATAGCTATGAATGGGACACATTCACCCTACTTAATTATCTTCATAAACATGGGTCCTACAATTTTTTGCTGGTATACACACACACACCACCCACCCACCCCCACACACCTTGGATTCTGTATTTTCTACTCCAATTCATCTGATGAATTGGATTTTACCCACTAAAGCTCAAGATCTAATATTTTTGTTAGTCTCGAAGGCATCACAGGACCATTTGTTGTTTTTAAAGATACAGATTAACATGGTTACCCCTCAGACATTTATGTGGGCATAAGCTTTAATGGACTGTAGCCCACTTCATCAGATGCAATGAAATGCTTGTAATTCTTCCTTCACCCCTTTTTTAAGTGGCAAAATCAAAGCCAGAAGAATGGGGCTAAAGAGGAAAAAGCAGAGGAGAAAAACCAGAAGATTAAAAAGGGCTGATAACTAGAAAATAAATGAAAAAAAATCTATAGAGGAAAAAAAATCACTTTTTAAAATAAGCAAAATAATATTTTCAGATTTTCTGAAATTCCTTTAACACTTTTCAACCTGTTCTAGTTAAGAGAGAAGATTTCTTGCTGTGTGGGTGTGGCACGTGTGTTTAAAATACAATAAAATATGGAAAAATGGACTGACAGGGATTGCTACCACAAACACTTGGTGCCTTCTACTGGTGGAGGCTGGTGTCGTCAGTGCTGATGCCTGTTTTAAAACCTGATCTTTGAGGTTTGTTCTATGTAATGGACTCCATTTAAGATTCTTAAAAAACCCACCGGGACTCACCCACTAATTTATAGACAACACACACAAGAGGAGCAGAAATTAAACTAGGTATATGTAATGCCTTCCTTGCTTGTGCACCAGCCTAAAATATTAGGTAAAAGCAATATTTACCTAATATTGGGAAAAACCTGAAATGGTCAAAATACTCATCTAGCTGAAGACAGCCCAGAGAGTTTTTGGATGAGACAGAAGAGGGGAAGAAAAGCCAGTTGCCATTGTAAATGTGACTAACAAGGACAAATACATCTGTTTGTCTGCTTTTTGTGAGACATGGAGCAGGCCTGAGAGAAGAGCTCTCTCTCCCTATTTGATTCTCTTACCTTAGAGATATCAGGGATACCAAGGCTTTTCTCTTCGTTACTTTTGAAGGAAGTTTTCTTTTGAAGACTCAGAAAAGTGGATTGACATTTTTCTAAGATCTGAATCAAAGATCAGGTTGCTGAACCTTATCTAGTCAGAAGAAAGCACTGTTAATTAAATAAGGGGTCACAAAGACAAGACCAAAAAAAAAAAATGGTTTAAACCATTCAAATACAAATAATTTCTTTTCTCAATTGCTCAGTTTTCACTTAATTAGCATGGGCTAGAACTCTCCTGGTTTTCTAGTGACCCACAGATATTGTGTAAAGCAGTGAATTTCAGCAAAAAACAGCAGGAGTGCAACTGTTGTACCAGCTGCACCAGTAGGATATCTAGTGTAGTCAAGGTCCCAATGGCATCTTGTTTCCCTCATTGCAGCAGCTAGATCTTCTGGCATCTCTCTCATCACATCAGTCAAGATGCTAGTCTCCAGTAGAAATCCCACTGATGTTAGCGCTGTACACCTTGCATTAACACTGGTAGGAATGTTTTACTAAAATTCCCTAGCGTAGACAGGGGCCTACAGTCTTTCAAGGAAGAAAAGGGCAATCAAAATCTGAGCATTTTATGGTGAGAAAAATGAACCAAGAATTTCTTTTACCTCCCAAAAACTATTTTCAGGTCTTCATTAGACATCAAGAAGAAAAAAAATAGAGCTCAAATCCCACCCCCCTGACTCGTTTGCCAGCCTTTTTAACTATTGGGAGGCTGCCTTTCCCATACTATTACCCTCTCCCCCCCACATCCAAGAGATTGACCTGTGAGGGCACTGCCATGAAATTCAGCTCAGTTTTCTGGCACAGAGGACAGCATGGACAGAGAAGTGAGCCTGAGTATTCTGGGTACCTTTTCGTAACCGGGAAGCCGATTTGTAGGCAGGAAAATATATACATTGGGGCCAAATTCATCACCCCATCAAGGAGGTAACACTAGGCATGAAATTGACCCTTGGAGTTCAATGAAACTAAAATATGCCCAACAGTTTATCCACACTATTGAGTGAAAACAGGCTGCTAAGAAGCGCACTCAAGCTGAACAGTTCTACAGTGTGGAAACTGAAATCTCAGGGAATATTCAGAAGCGCCAGTTTCTCCAAATGTAAAGTGGCACTGCTGCTCTTGGATGGTGAAAAAGATGAAGCAGTGAAGGGTCCAAGTGGACTTGTAAAGTCTGGCAAGACTCCCCCGCCCCCTTCTGGTGCAGCTGACTCCCAGCGGGGTGTGTGGGGGGGAAAGAGCAATTTAAGATGTGCTTTTCTAAGAATTCTGATTACTCTTCTTTCTAGTGCAGTAGTCCATGGATCTGTTGGGGTTTGCAGACTATGTCCAAGATTTCCTCAGGGGTCAGACCTCCATTAGAAATTTTTTTTAGAAGTCAGCAAATGGAAAAAAGATGGAAAACCATTGCTCTAGTGAAAAAAGGTACCTTCAACTAGGTGTGAGTCTCTCCATCTGCCTTTTTGGATCTATGCTGCCCTTTGAGTTTATTAATATCGGCTAGAGGTTTTGCTTACATAGAAACAGCAGGATATTTTGGCAGGAGTTAAAAAAAGCTCTACCGCCACACTTTAAACACATACAAAGTTACTACAGTAATGGCTGTTTACATCCCAGACAGTGTACCAATTCAGACCCACGGCAGAAAATGCTGAATGTGGCAGTATTTATTTTAAATATGGCATAAGGACATACTTTTCAGAAGGGAACCTTGCAAAAGGAGAATTTCCATGTTATGCAGGCTTACCCTATTGCCAGCTAGTCATCTAGCCCTCCCTCCACATTCTCTTAACCCCTCTTCTTGGAGTCTCTGGTCTCTTCCCTCATCCCCATCACTGCTATATCTGTCCACTTATTTTGGTGGCTGATGAATGGGACTCTTGTTACCTGGTCTTCTCATGAAGAAGGTGGCCGCTTTCCCACAGCTGGCTTTGAGGACTGGAG